ATTCAAAATGGTTAGGATAGATATATAGTTACATTCTCTTAATGAATAGAAGTACTTGTTCTAATAGTGTTTGTAGATAGGACATCATGTCTGCATCTTGTACAGCAATTAACCACTAGGAAGAATGTATGCAATGTGTTAACTATTGAAACTGTCCTACCAATTTGGTTTGAAACTGTCTCATTGCTATTTGTTTCTCAATAAAATTATAGGGGGGAGAACAAATACCAGCTAGGCCATGAAGGGACTTAGAGTAAGTTACAAGGTGGGCCACCATGGGGGTCAATGGGTAAGAGAACTCTGCTTGGGAATGTTCTTCCATCACCTGAGGTGAGCTGGGACTAGGTAGGGATGGCCCAGCCCCCTGGCCCCTAAGGAGTCATGGTTCTCAATACACAGACAAAGGTTTTCTTCCCCAGTAAACCTGCTGGCATTACTCTCTAAAGTTCAGGATAGACACATTGATCCAGATTTTGTAAAATATCACAAAAAGCGTCTTGTACTTTTATGAGTGGAACACTACCTTAGAGTGCAAACCTAACTGTCTCCTCTTCACTGTAGGTCCCAAGACAAAGCAGATGGGAAATCTGCTGGATCGCATCACCAGAGTCTACCAATTTCACTACTAGGCCAGGTCTTCAATGTTTTGGACATGTTTGTTCCCGACAACTTAAAACGAGAATAGTTTATTTTCTATTATAACACAGTCTGGGCTGAATATGAACTAAGAAGTGGCAAGAGATGGTATGGGACCCTATTTTACATTATGAGATTATTCACTAGTTATATAGCATTTCTGTTTCATATACAAATGGTGGAGAGAGATGCCTTATGTTTAAGCTTTTATAACTCTTTATCAAAGGGAATGTTCAAGAATGATAGTACTTAGTGCAAACCCAAAGGAGACAAAGATATCCTGGACAACCCTATTCTAAGACTCCTATTTGTCTTTTGGGGGACCTCAGTCTTTTTGATCTATTTAGGGAGGACAACCACACTTGGAGGCCACTCAACCTCCCCCTTACAATCTGCAGACCAATAAATCAGGCCCACCCCCTCCAAGTGACCAGAGGGCTTCACTAGAGCCTAGTGCTCCAAAGGAACCACATTCCTCAGCTCCCTGGGGAGCCTCCTCAGACAGCCCTAAATCCCACTAGATCCACGCAGACAGCTTTAAACCCCAAAGATTGAACCTAAAGTGGTTCTGCTTAATACTCTGGTTCACAACTTGTCCTGCCCCTAAGAGAATTCCCAGGATTGAAGGAAGCACTTGGATACACATTCGTTTTTCAGTTGCAGATGCACAACAGTACAAGGACTGATCAGGCCAACTGTCAGAAGACCCTAGTAAGTTTGCAGATGGGCCAAACTTTGCTTTGACTTATCATGTCAAGATGTCTGAATTATCTTTGTCACTTGCTGTACCTCAGATAAAAGAGAATCCTACAAGCGGTTAGAAACTATGCAGATGAACAATATGCTTAAGGAGGGAAAGAGGGGCCCGAGAGATGGCTGGGGCCAGGGAGATGGCTCAGTAGAATAAGCACTTGCCTGGCAAGTGCAAAGGCCTGAGTTCAATCCCTGGTTCCGCGCAAAGGGAAGGAAACCACTCTGGAACAGCTATTCGCTCTTCAATTGAACCAAACAGGCACTATAATACTCATTATGGGCTATAAATGATGTCTAGTGTGCCAGCTGCTCTTATCATGGGGATGAAAGGGTGCATTATAAATTCTATAATTATGATACAGTGAGGGGGGTCTTACAGGGCACAGAGGAAAATTCAGCTGTCTTGTAATCAATTAGAAAAGAACTTCTGCAAATATCCTAACACGGGATAACATTTTACCAGTCAGCCAGCCCCAAATACGTGATACAAAGTATAAAAACTTCAAATAGGGCCTTAAATATCTACGGTTCAATTGCTAGATGCAGACTTTTCGATGGTCAACAATCAGGACACAGAGAAAAGACGAAAGAAAAAAAGACTGTAACTGTTGCAACTGGTAATATTTTAAACATATCCAGGTCATCTAAATAAAAACTCAGGGACAACCAGGAAAAGGGTTTCTATTTCACATACAAAGGAACTGGACACCGGGCACAAGATGGCACCAGGCCTTTGCTTGCCTTTTCCAACTGTAAGGCAGCAAATATACCTGGTTCTTACCTCTGGAGGCTCGACTGTCCTCACTCCCAGAGCAGGAACAACTCTCACGTCCTGCTGTGACCATTGACGAGGACCAGGAAACTGGAATGCCCGTCCACAGACATCAGCGCCTCTGAGGAGCCCTGGATAATCTTGGACATCATGGGTGAGCCGATTCAACTGCTTATAGACACAAGAGGGGCTCACTCTTTTATGATTTCCTTCCCAGAAAACTGTCCTCCAAACCCATCGTCCCAGTGGGGTTCAAAGGGATCCCTAGGCAGAGCTTCTTAACTCCTGATGTGTCACTTTGAAGGTCAAGTGTCTAATCATGATTATTAACAAAATGGGGGACAATTTTCAAATTCCAGCTAAGGCCAAAACAGATTTGACTTGCTGGGACTATACCAGGTCTCCCTGACCAAGTTACCCAACAGGTAAACCCCGCTGCCTGGTATAAGGGAATATTTGGTAGGGTAAATTCTGCTGCACCAGGGATTAGAAGACTAAAAGACTCCGGCCAACTTCCTAACCAAAAGCAAGGAAGAGGCATAAAAAGGCCTCCAGCCTCTCATAGACACATTACTCAAATACAGCCTTCTGAAGCTTTTCAGTCCCCTCGCAGCCTTTATGTGAGACAGTAAAAGGCCCTCACTCTGTGTCCCTAGAATGGACAAAAATGACTGAAGTGCATTAGTCACCAGAATAGCTCTGACTTGTGTTTGACAAGGGAACAGCTTACCAAGCATCAGGCTATGCGCTTAGATACCCCTGAGGCTGTTATAAAAACTTGCACTACTATTAGCCCTGCTTCTTTGCTGGCTACAGGCTCAACGGTTAGCTGCTCTTGTGAAAAAGTCATCTTCCAGACCTCTGTAAGCAGGCAGGAGATCAGCGAACTGCGCATCGAAGAGCCTCAGGAGGTATGAAGTAAGGCTGTCTGCGAAGGACAGCGAAAGGCAAGATTAGACAGCTGTCAGCTCACCAAAGGTCAATGAAGATCAACTTCTTTCCTCAGGTACTTCTACGCAAAAGGCAGAGCTGGTAGCTTGTTCTCAGGCACTGACGTTAGGAAAAGACACGTCAGACATCTACATAGACTCCAGATATGCCGGAGCGCTGCGCACTACACAGAACTCTGGAAGGAAAGAGGCTTACTAGCAAATGAGTGAAAATCTATAAAGCACAGACGGGAGATTCTATGAGGCAGTCCGTCTTCCCTGACAGGTTGCAGTCACACACTGTAAAGGACACTAGAGGGACACCGAAACGTCCTTGGGAAATCAGAAGGGCGGCAGGCAGGCAAAAGCGCTGCCTATAGCCCTTTAGGACTCTAACCTAATTCCCAATTCCCAAGGAACACTTAAACCAGTCTATTCCCCCTCCCAGGATAAATGGGTCCCCAAACAAGGGAGACTTTTAAAAGGGACTAGGTGGTATTCAGAAAACAAAGTGCCTCCCCAAGGAACCCAGTGGGCGGCTATAAAAACACTTCGCAATTCCTCCCACCTGGGAAGAGACGCTACATTGGACGCGACCACTGAAGCCTTCACGGGCCTAGGGCTAGCAGCCATCGCTGAACAGATCTGCAAAGCTCACGCACCTTGTGCTTACAACAACGCGGGCAAAGCCAAACCCCCTCCTTTAGTAGAGCCTGTACAGAGCAGCGAGACATACACTAGGGAGGACTGGCAATTAGACTTTACCCATATGCCACCATGTAAATAACTCACCAGATGTTGGTCCTAACTGACACCTTTCCAAGCGGGACTGAAGCCTTTCCTACCTGTTCAGAAAAGATTACAGAGGCAGTCAAGGTGCTTTTTAAGAAAACATCATCCCGGATCTGGACTACGCCAGTCCCTCCAGAGTGACAGTGGACCTTCTTTACCTCCCAAACAACTCAGGGAGGGGCGAAGGCTTCAGGAATAAAGTGCCACCTCCGTTCCTCCTGGCAACCTCAGTCTTCTGGAAAGGTAGAGAAAGCCAGCCAGACCCTAAAGCAAGCTCTGGATAACCTTTGCCAAGGTTAGGTCACAGATGTCTGAGTGTGGCTCTGACGCCTACCAACAGTACTCATAAAGGTTGTAACACGCCCAAAACAGGGCTAGGTGTGAGACGTTACAGGAAGGCCATCTCTATCCCCTGGTATGACAGCAGACCCAGAGACTACAGGACTCTTCTTACGTTTAGGTAGCTCCTTGTATAGTAAAGCAGAGTCCTGCCACCTTGGTGAGCCCTGCAGACCAAGTGCTTGTGAGAACTTGGAGAGAGGGGACGCCAGCAGGGCCGGGAAAGCCTGCGTGGAAAGGCGCTTACTCAGTGATCCCTGCAGCACCCACCGCAGAACAGACGGCCGAGGCTGAGGGCTGCATTCGCTTCTCCATACTCGAGCTAGTCCCACCTGGACTGTCCAAAGAACAAGATCACCCACAAAGAAACAGCTGCTCCTGTGAACGTCTGGAAGACTGGCATTTCTCTTCAAAAAGCAGGACTCCAGTGCTGCTGCAGATAAGCAAGACCTGGCTAAGGCCATGGCTGTCATCTATCTATCATTTATCTGGCCACCTCTCTGATGTACATTCTTCTGTACAGGAACTGTGAAGTCTGGCCCACTCCTCATATCTGGGCTAATGGTAGTTTCTTTCTCCAACAGGTAGCTCAAAGATCACTACCTCTTGTCTCATTTTCTGAGAGGTTTTCCCTCCCTCAACCCAGCAATAGCCAACAAGTACCTAAGGTACTTGGACTATACAATCCCAAGTAGGTAAGGTCTATATCCCCTTTCAACCTGAAGAAGTTATAAAAGACAGAGCCACCTCTCCTTCAGCACCCCATAAAGATTTATGGGATTTATGTCTCTCAAGGGAAAATTATATAGGAGATAGGGTGTGGCAAAGCTAGCTTGGAAAATGAGTGGGAACTGTCAGTTACAAGATCCCGGGCCAGCCCCAGGACCCCGGATGCAGAACTTCAAGAGCTCCCACAAGACGTGGATGGCATAAAAGAACACTAGATACTACACAAAGCTCAGTAACCTAACTTCCCACCATAGCCCACACTACGTTTCTTCCCACCATAGCCCACACTATGTTTCTTCCCACCATAGCCCACACTATGTTTCTTCCCACCATAGCCCACACTGTTTCTTCCCACCATAGCCCACACTATGTTTCTTCCCACCATAGCCCACACTATGTTTCTCTCATGCAAAGTACACTTTCATTTTTGCTTTTTCTCCTTTTTCTCTTGTTCTTCCCAAATTCACTCTGCAGAGCTGGCTTCTCTCTACCCATTCGCCCCTTATTTTTCAAATAAACTTCTGGTGCCATTCTTTACTTATCTTGTCCAAATCTTCGTCCTAGGCAATAAGGACCTGGAGTAGTTTTGACTAGTGAGCCATTTCTAAAGGCACTGCTACTGGGTAACAAGATCTGGGAGAATTAGTTGCTAGGAAACATGGATTTTCTAGTCCCTCTACAGTGTACTGTGTTGACTGGCCAGCTAATGGTCGAAACTTGCTATCTTGGGGTCAGACTGTATAAAGATAAAAACAATACTAAGCACTTGGGAAAAACTGAAGAGAAACCATCTCCAGCTGTACCACAAGTGCCTAGATTCTGCTGCAGGACTAAAGGTTTTTGTGCCCCTGGGTCATGTTCTAATGGTTTATTTTAAAATAAATTCCTGACCAATTGTTTAGTTGCTGTTACCTTTTTTAACTTAATATGGCATCTGGTGGGAGAGGACATTAGTCTATGTGTATGATTTAATAAAACAAACTCAAGTTGATCCCAGTTTTTTCATTTCCCTCCACTAGAAGACATCCAAAAATAGTTTTCTGGCTGGGAAGATTAAGGAGAAACTTTTCCAATGACACATTCTTGGGCCAGTAACCCTAGAACTGAGCCTACACTGCTGCAGTGACAGTCTGACCTCTAACCACGTAGCAACAAGTATTTCCATTTTAGAGCTCACCTATGTTTTAATCCCAGGAAATTCCTACTGCATTTTATCATAATATGTTAGAGAACTCCATAATTGAAATATGAAATATTAAAATATTTTTATCTGTGCTAATATTTTATCACACTAAAATTTACCTTTTTATATCAAAATTCAGAATAAGTAGAGGGTTATTTTAATTGTACTTTCCACAAACATTACAAGCGTTGGATCTGAATGTCTGCAAAGAGAACTGCCTGCAGCCTTTCCATTTAATGCCTGCTCTAGTTCGTGACTGCCACTGTGGCCATTTTTAACTGCATTCTCTTGGAATTCCACTGGCCACTCATCATTTTATTAGAAAATATGTATTATAGCTAGCATTCATAAAAGGACGATAAGGGCCAGGGAGATAGCTCAGTAGAATAAGCGCTTGCCTGGCAAGCACAAGGTCCTGAGTTCAATCCCCGGTACTGCAGAAGAAAAAAAAAGAAAAAAGAAAAGGAGAATAAAAGAATACATTTTTTTTTTTTTTTTTTTTTTTTTTTTGGTGCAACCAGGGATTGAACTCAGGCCCTTGCACTTGCCAGGCAAGTGCTCATTCCACTGAGCCGTCTCCCTGGCCCCTACATATGGTTTGAGAAGATAAAATCATACATTTTTGCTCTACTAGTGTAGATATAAAAATCTGGAATCCTCTGTGGTAGATAAATTAAGGACAATATAGTTAAGCAATTAAAAATCTTATTGTCAATCATTACTATACTATTTTTTGAGGAGAAAAAAGAACTAACGACTTCTTTGAGAATACTGGAACTCAGTGTAGCCTAGGCTCAGCTCAATCTTGCCACAATCCTACTACTTCAGCTTCAAAAAAACTGGGATTACAGGCATACGTCACTACAATCAGCAGTTCATGTAACTTGAACCCTGAGCCTCAGGTTCCTTTTGTGAAAAATGATCAAAATAATATTACCTCAAAGATGGGCATACAATAAAACCTTGTTCAAGAAGAAAAGAACTGAAAGTTTAAAAATACTGTCCAGATATTAACTCATTTGTCATTGGACAAACCGCCTACAAGAAACTGAACAACTGCACCCATAACAAGAATCTACCTGAAGCAACGAACACCACGTTCACATCCTCGGCTTGGTGTTTACTTTCCAGTGAGGGTCACGCAATGTCACAGAAAAAGTTGCCAAATACTAAGATG